TGCCCCGCCTGGCCCCCTCAAGTGTCGAACAGCGATGCGCCGGTGCCCGACGTTTTCTTTTTTTTCAGGGTGGATATGGCTTAAATATGGCTTAAATGGCCGTGCTGTCGCGAGTGGTGGTGTCCTGTTCGCAGTTGGTTTGGGCGAATCTGAGGCTTTCAGCGTCTCCAGTTGACGGAGCAGGATTTGGCCGCTTGGCTGAGGCTGGCTCAGGCTTCTCCTTGAATGTGGGAATGAGGGAAGGGGGCAGAACACTTCTTGGAATCTCCTGTCGTTGGTTCATGGGTTTCGCCAGTTTCTTCAGTTTACCGGGTACTTCTCAAGGAGAGCGGGAATCCCGTCTGGGAGGGCAGAGCACGTGCCACCTGGGAGAGAACTGGCAAGATCAGAATACATTGCTTCACTACACACCTGTCAACTGACGATTCGATCTGGCCGCGACATCATGGAAGGGGAGTTCACCACCTGTTTGCTCTTCGGATTGAAGATGATCATCCGAACGTCCTCGACCGTCGCTTGAACTCCGCTTGCCGCATCTCTTTCGTGCTCGACCTGCTCAATCCCCGAAACCCGCTTGGTATCATGGCGCCATCTTCAGCCAATCCGCTCGGCCCACGAAGATGAGCCGCACGGGACCCTCCAAGGCCAACACTGCTTGGGGCTTCGGGAAGGCGAAGGGTGTGGACGGCAGGGAGGGCAACGGAAAGCATTGGTTTTCACATGGCCTGGATATGTGTTTTTATGTTTTACTTTTATTATTTTTTTGGGGGGGTGGTTTTGTGAGCTGGTTTTGTGAGCTCTTCCAGGTGATGCTGGTGCAGCCCGGACTCTTCGCGTTGATTGCGGAGCAGAGCCTTCAGAGGATCCGGAAATCCGGAGCTGACGGCCCTGGGAGACCATCTGTCGAGAATCTGGGCAAAGCAATGTGGTCGGTTGAACAGTCTTGGAAGAGAGAGAGAGAGAGATGCTTTGTTGTACCACATCACTTTTCTTGAGAACTCTAGCCGTCCACTGGGTGCTGGCCCGAAAAGGAACAGCTGTTTGGCAGGTGATTCTGGCCACAGTCCTGCACAGTCCCCCTGCACGTTTCTCACGTGGAAACTCACCAGTCAAAACCCACCATCCAAAAGTGGTTTGTGGACCCTGTAGTGGTACACATGGGATGGGCTCTAGGGCTTTTAACATCCTCTCTTGGATATTCAATGATATTCACACTCTTTCACATCCCCTTTGACTGGGCCAAGTGAATGACACCAGTTGAAGGGACCAGGATACGGTTCATGGACCAAATCCCTTCTGAATTCTGGAACCATCGGCCCCAACGACAAGAGATTCGGCCATTTCAGGGTGGAGGACAAGACTGGTGCATGCCGCATGCCTCTCTGTCGTGGCAGATCTCCAGAAACTGGTACCACCCCCAGCCAGCTCCTAGAGTCCTAGAGCTAGTCTAATCCCCAAAACGCTAAAAAAGACCACCGACCGTGCGGCATGGTGTTTGTTCTCCACGTCTCAGACCCTCCCTGGACCGACCGTGCACCGCCGAACCGGGAACGCTCATGCGATGGGCACCGGGAACGCCGCAGGATGGGCACCAGTGAGCCGCAGAACCTGGCGAATGTGGCCTGAGCCTTTGCCACCGTCCGCTGGAGAGAGGAACCTTTGGCGCGGGCACCCAGCCCGGCCGAAACCGGTGGTGGGAGAGGAGCAGTGCGTTGGAAGAAAAGCTTACCAATATGTTTCGGAGATGCCACTCATTGATCCTCATTTGGAGATGTTTGTGCGTTGTTTTGCTGCAGATCTTGACATCGAGCCATGACCGCCTTTTCCCGAGATATTTGGTGCATTCCATGTGTCAAATACATCACGTCGGCATCCGGCATCCAAGAAACGACGCAACCAGCGGTCGTTTCTTTGATGAAAGTGGATTGCAGGACCAAACAATCCGCTGGATTAGTAGATTGACAAGGGTACAATTCGACTTGGAAAGCCGAACCAGCACGCAACAACCTGAGACCTTGGCGGGAGAACCCCCGACCTTGCCTTTGTTCTCTTGAAACCACCGGGGTCTCGGTCGTCACCTGGCACGGGCATTCGGGTTGTCTCGTATACGTAGTATACGCTCGCGTCCGTCAGCTAGTTGTACTGACCCCAACATTTTTGGAAGAGTGAACCAGGCCCCTGATCCTGTCCAATCAGTAATCTGCCGCTGCAGCCAGAAAGAAGACCAGGTTTCTTTTTGAGACATTTTGAGAAACAAACAAACCAAAAGAACGAACCCCAAAGTAACAAAGTAAACAATACCGATCAAATGGTTGCTTATTTTTTCTTTGCCACCTAGACCGCTGTGGGGGGTGCGGACCGACCGCAGGTGGAAGCCATGGCCGAGCAGTGCCTTCGCATTGTCAAGCAGTTCGGGCCGCAGGAGCCACCCAAAAGTCTCCTGGCCCAGGAGGTTTAAAATGATTCATCTTAATCCACCTGGAAGTCATACTCCACCCACCACTACCGCTGGGGGCCCCAATGAGTCAATCCGGGACTCTCCGTTCCGGGGCGCCGTAGACGTAGACGTCATCCGCTGTCGGGTTCCACGACGTATGTACTACACCACGGGTACGACCTCCAGCCAGGGCCTTTCACTGGCAGCGGTTGCAGCGGAGCGTCCCATGTCCCTTTCGACATCGGTGAGTTCACTTCAAATCAGTTCAACCTTCGTTCGGGACCGGCGCCCTGGTCTTGTGACTGCTGGCTCAAGGATCCTTGGGAGCTGCGGGTAAATTGTGCCAGAGCCGACGCCACTGCCACTGTGGCTTGATTTTGGGGACAATTGAAGGTCGCGGAGTCGCGCCCCTCGGGAATTCCTTCACTTTCTTTACAGCTGTGCCCGCGAGCCTGCTCTGGTCTTGCGTGACCAGCGCCCCTGGCTGGTGAGGAGTGTGCGAACTTTGCTTGGACTTTGACTCACCTGATGCTCGTCGGAAGCTGAGAAGACGGGGGGCGAGAGGGCACTGAGGGCACTTCAACACATCCGTCAGGTGGTCGCTTAGTTGAGAGGGTCGTGATCGAATGCTTCCCAAGAACCACCTGGGTTTCCCCAGTCCCAACCAGAAAGAGATGTTTCCCCGGTCCCAGCGTCCTCTGTAAAGGATCCCAAGCCACATTGGAACAACCATTTGTTTCTGTTTGATTCTGTTTGTTTGCTTTGGTACCCAGGCATGGATACTGGGATCCATCGTGTGTAGTGAGTTCACCAATGGGCGCGGAACCTTGACAGGGTGCAGACATGACTGAAGAACTCCAAGGTGCACACGCCTTGTTTGGCCGCTTTGGGCAACCGCTTTGTGACAGGCAGGACGTTGGATGCCGGGTGCCGCATGCACGTCCGTGACCCTGCACCCATCCTTTGAATCACTTCTTGTCGTAGATGTGGTCGTGTTGGGCCTGGTCACAAGCCCGAACAGAAGCTGATATATACAAGGAGATCCATCTTGAAATTTTGAATTGAGATCCTTTTTGTGGGGTGGATTCTAGACTACCCCCTCAAATAGCATCTTATAAGCCATAAATTAAACAATGAGCATGCATAATAAGGGCATTTGGAACCGCCAGGCCTTCGCAATGGCAGTACCCAAAACTTGACCAACACGGTGTGAGCGTGCGGTGCCTTAGAAACTCAGTGGACCAGGGACGACAGGAAGACTCCAAGGACACCTGACGTTCTCTGGGTAGGTGGAGGGCCCAACAGTCCGATGGATGTGTTTCACCTAGCTGCTCTGCTGCTCTCGTGCTTAGCTGCTCCCCCAAACGAAGCCATCAAAGTCTCACACCTTGATGGCACCGTTCAGTTCGACCACGGAGGGCACCGGTCAGGAGGTCAGGAGAAGAACCCAACCGCGACCTACCTTCGATCCGATTCACCGAACAAAAAGGGAGCATGGCTATGCCATGAGGAACCTGGTATGATCTCTACCACCGGAAGAAGGAATTGAGGACGTAGTAGGGATCGGGTATGATATGATCCTGATATTGAGACAGGACATGATATGATCAATATAGGTATGAGGAGAACCATGTCAATGGTATGACACGATATGACCCTGATATTGGGATATGTATTGGGTCTGTCACATTACCTGTAACAGTGAGTAAACACTTATTGCTGTTTTGAACAAGGCCTTTACTAAACATCATCATCCACGGTTACAGGTATTAGGATAGACCCAAGAGATATAGTCATAGTACCCCCGGAAATGTAGGCTCTGGATTCCTGAAGCCCATCTTGGCGTGGTGGGGGGGGGTTTATGAATCAATTGGAAACACCTGATGGACTTGTTCGGAATCGAGCGTCATGCGAGTGTCACCCAGTCACGCCTATCATCCACCCCTTCGAAAACACCTGATGGGTTACGAAAACACTCCCAAAACCACTGGGTTGGATTCGGACCAGGGTCGAAACCATGGGTCAATTCCGAGGGGTCCATGGGAGTACGAAACGCGGCGCGAATGGCTTGGTGTGGCACCGGCTCATTGACGGGTTCATCTAAAGCGTGCGGCAGGTGCCGTGCCGGATTTCTTGGCATCGTGCGGCCATTCCGATCGCACCTCCGTCGTCCGCAGCTGACCAACCTTTAGATGAAGCGAAGCTGAAAGGAGCCTATTCAAATTTAACATAGACGACATCAGCAGAAACTCCATGCAGTCGATTGCTGAGCTTGATGGGGTCTTCTGTCTGCAGCTGGTAAGCAAAGCACGCAGATCTTTTTCTTTTGGGTTCGGGCGAGCATCGCCGAAGATCGGAGCGAGCATCACCGCAACGGCTCAATGGAACATCTCCGTGGATCTCGAAACCGGGTGACCCCGAATTTCACCACGCCCGACTCTTGGCCCCTTTTTCATCCTTTTTCCGCTTCTGCCGGGCATCGTGCATGTGAAGTGAAAGGCATTGAACGTCTCTTCTTTTCAATGTCTCCAGTGAGACCGCACCAACTCACCCACTCCACAAAAACCGCTGACCGGACCGGTTGAGGAGAGGCTCTTGTGCCGACCCGGGGAAAGAGCTGCGCGCCGCAGCGCCATGGCGTCGTCCTCGTCCTCTCGCACCCGACTGTCCAAAGGACGCTCGACCGGGTCGAGCGATGACCGGCCGGTCGAGCGATGTCTGCGCGGGCGGACGAGTCGTTGTTGGCGGTGAGAGACGAGTTGGGTGACTTCTGAACTTTGAGTGTTTCCTTTTCTCACACGTGAATCAGATGTCTTACAGTTGGAAGATGTTGGAAGGGGAAGATAAGGTTCTTTTTCCATGAATTGTGCCAAGGTAAGGTGCTGCGTGGGTTCTCCCCTGATGGTAGTTACGAAGTGGAAGACCTCCTTGGTGCCCAAGACCCTGTCAGTGGTTTCAAGGCTTCAGTGGCGCAGACCCCAAGGCTTCAGGTAGATGGGGCCTGGGTGGGTCCATCTTAGCTACCTGGAGATTGCACAAATCCACTCCTTAAAACCGGATGAGGGAAGGTTCAAGTCCGAGTCTGGTGGACTTGCCGTGCAGCTTGAGGTTCAAGTGCCACGACCCAGCAAACTCAGCAAACCATGTCTTCAACAACACCTGGAACCCCAGGCTAAACCGAGAGGCCCATGCAGCCCACGCGTACCCAGAGGGCTGAGGTGCCCAGAGCTGCTTTGACCAGCTAAGGAGTCCTTAAGGCAAACTACAGGGGGCAAGACCTAAGGACTCCCACCCAGACAAGGAGTCCCAACAAAACGAGCGATTCTCCATTTCAGCTCTCGACCCGGAAGGTGATCCCAACCATTGGCCCTTCACTCACCAGCACCGGAGCCCCTGACACCCTCTGGAGTTGCCCCCCCCACGTGACCCCCGCACGGCGGTTCCGCGCGGACCGTCCGCCCGGCGATGGCGCAGAGCGTCCGCGCCGCGCGGCATGGAGTCGCAGAACTGGGCGTTTCTGCGCCTCGAACGGCTCTGGCGCTCCGTCCGCCGCAGCGCTTTGGGCCCGTTCTGCGGGCCGAAAGGCCTGCTGTGCTCCGAGGCGGGATGAGGTGTAGATGGGGTGGGTTCCTTGACTGCTTCAGCTGGAGGGGGCCCATGGCGTCAGGCCGAGCAGGAGGACTTCGAGACCTTCTTCGAGAGGCGGGGAGGTCGAGAGGGGGACACATGTTCGGAGACAGGCATGGTCCATGGTTCTCAAAGTGTGTGCTGTGGTATACTTGTCTTGGTGTACATTGCCTACCCCAGAGTACCCCACATATGTGGAAGGACTTTTAGGGGCGTGACGTGGATGTGTCCGCAAGTTTGTGTGTCCGGGTGGTGTTTTCTCTTTTTGGGGGGTTGGGGTCAATCCAATTTTTGGCAAGGAATTGGGCATATGCAAAGAACTCACAAAAACTTTGAATTCCCTGCTTTGATATCGACGCTGGGCATACCAGAAAGATATTATGTCAATCTCCCCTCCAACAGTAGACGCTCCTTCTTGTGCGCTTTGGTGCCCTGAAAAGACTGAAAAGACAGCAGTTTTCAGCTCTTCACATGCAACATTTGGCTGACATATGCTGACGTCATGCAATTTTCTCTTTTCGAAGAATCATGTTCCCAAATCAACCAATCGCTCAAACAAGTATATAAACTTCCTCCAACTTTGGCCAGTGCAGATGTCACTAGCTGGTTCCTCCCCAGAATTATGGAACTTGAAGTAATTGCTGTAGGGCGATCAGCACGGATAGTAAATGTGCGCTCAATATGAAAAAAGACCGCTTCCACGGCCAGTCGTTCCGGTTTCGAGTTGTGACGATTCTTTCGCACAAACCCCTGACTCCAGGTATTTGTCCTTCCTCCGCACTCAACCACCCGACTATGGGCTCCCACCCTCCTTTGAGTTCGGCGAGCTGGGCACCGACGCCGCGCGCGCGCCCGTGTCCCCCGCGCTGCGGGGGGCGCAGCGGATGGCGGCGGCGCTGCCGCAGGTCTTTGCCGCCGGGTGCCGGAATGGAGAAACCGGAGATAAGGAACTAGTGTTTTTTTCCTATGGCTTTCTAGGTCTACAGAGTCTAGTTTCAGTCTCTGAAGAGGGTTGCAACATTGTTTGTCTAGCGGGTTCCTCTTCTCCTCATTCGAAAGGACATTGGGTGCTGGGAAGGCGCGAAGAAGTGGGCGCACCTTTGGACTTGGTCAGAGGTGAGTAGATGCTCCAAGTTGCAGTTGGCCCTTTCGATGTTCAGGGGTTTTCGATGTTCAGGGTTGAGATGGTGGATTCCACAAGTGTTTGGCTTCTGTTGGGCATCGTTGGACCATTGGATAGACTCCACCTTCCAGGTGGGTGCCTTATCGGAAGGGTGAGAATCCGGTCACCCCTGCGTGGTCGGGTCCGATTCTTAGGTGGAGGAATTCGGACATGGCAAACAAAACAAAACAACATTCAGGACATTGCAATTAGGAAGAAATAGGAATCATGTATTGCTTTTCATTGTTTTCTCCAATGTCATTCTGCCCATGATTTGGATGACCCCGGCTCCCGCACGCTCGCCGCACGCTCGCCGCGCCCGCTGGCCGAGGACCCTCGCCTCCGGCAGAACCTTCAGGTGGTGGTGCCGCCCGCGAGGACCGCGAACGAAGCGCGCGGGCGAGGCTTTTGGGTGTGGAGCACCTTCGGTTTGCAGAGCTATACCAGTGACCATCCTGTCTGGGTGTCCTTGGCTGGACGACCTCATACTACTCAGGGATCTCCAGACAGGACACCCAGACAGGCTGGTCCAGGTAATGGCTATAAATATCAATCATTACACCCAGGAGTTGCAAAGGGGTGCTTAATGGAGGTTGGGGGTGCCCATTATCGACTCACTTAGGGACTAAACAACACCCCTTTGTGACTCCTGGAAATCGTGTCTTTTCGCAGTGACCAACTTCATCCAGATTCCACTTCCGATGTGTTCAATGTCGTAGAACCTACGGTGGGTGTGGATGACGCTCGGGCACGACCACATTCCAGCCAATCTTCACGGTCCATGTCCAGGTTCTTTGGAGTTCACCATTCTGGGCGGGCTCGTTTGTTGGGGCTTCTCATGAAGCAGGCAGCGCAGATTTTGAAGGGAGTTGCTGCTGTAGCAGACTGTAGCATTAGCGGAGCGCCAACGTATTTGATCCCTCACCAAACCACACCTCACGCAGATGCATGTAGATGGCGCATGCAGACCAAGCCAAGGGCAGATAGTTGTGGGCACCACTTGCATACAAATAATTACATGACATCATGTGGCACAGACGTCACAAACGCTTATTTAATCTTATTTAGTTATATGAATGCAGATCCTCTCTGCCTGGGTAGCGCCAACATTGGCAAACAAGGAGCAGTGCAAGTTTCCTCCCTTCTGAAACTTGATCAGAAGTCTTCAGGACGAAGCGAAGTGAACAAATACGGTCCACTTAGTCAACCCAATTCAACCGACCTTGGAGAAAGCGGTGGAGAGGGAGAGCTGAAGAGAGAGTTTTTAGAGAGAGAGAGAGAGAGTTTGAGAGAGAGAGAGAGTTGGAGAGGGAGAGTTGGAGAGAGAGAGAGGGGGAGATAGTGCCACAATAAATGAATAGCATCGATGAGCACATAGACTCTAGACTGTAGTGACTATAGAGCAGATAAACAAGCGAACAACAACATATATAAAATATCGAACGATCTCGCGAAAGAGGCCACCCTCCCAGAACACCACACCGTGTTTACGCGCCAGGACGCTTGACCAGCTGGATGCCACGCTCTTGCAGGGCGTGGTGCAGCACTACGAGGACTTCCGCCAGTGCCTGGGGCGAAGTGGATGGGGACATGGGTCGGACTGAGACCGACGGGATTCTTGACACCATGCGTGGGGCCTTTCAGCCACAAAGCCCAGCAGCAATGGTGGGGGTCGAGCAGGTACAAAGATCATTCAACTTTTTTTCTCTAGGTCTTCTTGTTCACGTTCACGGGTTGTTTCAGAACGGTTGAGTCATTGAGTGATCCGTTTGATGGGCAAATGGCCAAATGACACGCGTTTCTACACATGATTTCTTGGGTCCATGAACGATGTTGTCACAACATGGATGTGAAGTAAATCCAAGGCATCATATTAACAAGTGATCATCACAATATAATTGGACGTTTTAATATGATTGGCATTCACATTAGCATTGTCATATGTGTATATATATATATATTTGTGATTGGCATATATTACCATGCACATGCGACTCGCAAAGGAAAATGGCCATGCAAAAGTTACGGAAGCTTCGGAGCACCATCGGTCTCTTGGATGAAGAGGGCCTAAGATGCGAGGATCGCGGAGTGGCGGGGATCCAGACTCCCATCGATAGCTCTGTAAAAGTCTCAGGGTGCCTATCCATCAAGAAACTTGGTCTCGACATGTCTCGGCCATGTCCAGCTCAGCATCTTTGGGCCAGGGCGTCTTCGTGAAAAGAAGTAGACGTTCTGTGGGAACTGAAGCGGCCGAACTTTGTATGACATGAATGAGTGTTTGTAATGTTTTGTTTTCACCTTGTTTTCCTGCATGGAAGAAAGGAAGGAACTCTCACCCAAGCCAAGCCAGGATTGGAACCAACTCCAAGCCATTGGGGATCAACCAAGCCAACCGCAAGAAGAAAAACCCAAGAACCAAACAGTTCGAACGCCAGGACCGGAACACTCCTCCCTACGATTTTGACTCCTTTTGATCTGATCCAAATTCACTCCGGCTACACCATAGCAAACAGAAGAGTCATCAAAATGCAAAGACGGATGGAATACTACCGCGCAGGCACGTCAGCCTGACATGACCTGGCACAGCCTAGTGAACTAACATGAGCTAACGCTGCAAGAAGTTTTCCCCACTCTATCCCAACCCGTCCCTGAAAACCGAACCCACCCCACCCCATCACGTCCCAAAGAGACCAAGGCAGCTTACCCGCCAGCGCTGCACGAGCGCAGCTGGTGGAGGCAGTGAAGGAACACCCGGTGACGCTGGTGGTGGGCGACACGGGCTGTGGGAAGTCCACGCAAGTGCCACAGTTCCTCATGGAGGCTCGGGTGGGCCGTGGAGAGAAGTGGTGTAGATCTTGCGTGGAGAGAAGTGGGGTGATTTTTGG